TCTGTATCGACCAATGAAAGCCTCAAAAAGGTGATATTTCGTGAAGGAGGCTTTTATGCAATTGTTTACTGCACACAGTAATGGATAGTAACCTCTTTAATATTCGTGAGGCTTGAAAAGATAGATGTTGCGCACGCCAGTGTTACAGTTTTCAAAATTGCTTGTAGCAAGGCCTATTTTTCCAATTTCAACGAAAAGTAATGAACATAAAATCGAAATAAAGTGTTACGTAACCGGTAGAAATCGCCCTTCGCAACCATATGGCTGATATTACGTCAAATTGCAAGGAGCCGCTTGAGCGGTAAGGTTTCAGTTAAAGGGGTACTAGGTCCTGAAATCCCCGATAAAATTATGTTTTGGATCGTTCACGCGAATAGCGGTGCCTTTTACCGTTATATTGGTCACGTAGGCATGCGCAACACTACCATTGAGTCAGTATTTTATCGTCCTGAATTCACAATTAACTCGCTGCAATTAACAGCTGCCTTAGCGCGACATCGCGCAGTACGCACGCCAATCTCCATAAAAGGAGTTGTTTACGTCTTACTTGGGAGCTGAACATTCCATTATATAGCTTGAGGGATGTTTCAAAAAACATGAAGTGAAATTATTGAAAAAAGTGTTTGAAACTTTAAATTTTTTGACTTGTTTGGACCTTTGGACCGAAAAGTTTAGATTTTCTTTACCAAAAGGTATATATGAAACGGTACTTATGAATAATTACCCTTGACTTCGGCTCGGGTAATTATCAGCATCCAGATTCAAACTGGTCTTAACCATAGTGTTTAATACCTCTAAACCACACATACCTATGACTGCATTTCGTCTTTTAAATTGTAAGGTTACCAGGATTGCGTGTTTGGTGACCCTTGGTATTATTAGAGTCAATAATAAAGGGAAAGAGGACTCGGCTTCTCAGTTCTGTGGTGATTTATTCTCACACTGAAAGATGAAAATACGGGAAAGGGAAAATCAGGTAATAAGACAAGGTGTTCCCTCGGTTCCGGATAGCATTGGAATGGCGCTAACGCGGGCCGCGCCCCGTATTCCGAATCTCTATTGCGGTAACGGCGAAAGTGATTGGTCAATGAAAATGAATATTCAAGACGATGCTTTGAATAAGAATAAAGGTTTGCAGGGTGAATCTAAAAAAGAATAAGGGGGATACTTTTTTACGCCTGTGATATTCTCCCCTCTGTTGAGAAAATGACGTCCTCGCCATTTCAACTATTTACAAATATTTACAGAAGTAACCTAACACAAATTATACAAGAATTATTGAAAGAAAAAAACATGAACTGAAGCATATCATGTACTTAACTCCTCAAAACTACTTGCATAATATTCCGGCGCCGGGTTTGATAATACACAGAATAAGGAGGGAAATATTCCAACAAAGGAATATAGCAAATGCACCAACTCGATTATCTCTTTTTTAATACTTTACCCAATACGGATAAACAGTAAGTTTTCTTGCCAAACTTAGCAACAAATCTTATTAACACTGAAGACACTTTTCCGTAAATGTCAGGAACAAATGAATAAGCCTTTCTACACTGGGCTTGCATACAAAACACTTATAAAATTACAGGAAATTCAATTGAAATGACGAATGTTACTGTCATATTTATACAACATATTTTCAACCAAATGATAAATCATTAATTAATCAATATGGCGAAGCATAAATCTCATACCGACCTTTTCCCTGGTTTCTGCCACTTTTGGACTCTTTCATCTCGCCCACAACCTCCTTATAGACTTTAATTTGGACTGGCAGAGTTCCTCCATTTATTGTTTGTTTGGAACTCTGTTTGTCCAAGAAAATCAGATGACAAACGATCTGGAGGTTTGCGTGCTCTGTGTGGTCTTTGTGGGAGATAAAACTGAGGTGGAGTTTCCATGGACTGGCTGGATGAGGTTGGTAGGGCCGACGAAGATGAGGATGATGACGGAGATTGCAAAATCTGATGCCAAGTTGGATCGAGAGTGGTCAAATGTGTCGTTCAGCTGCTGTTGTTCAGACACATTTCCGTACACTGTTGTGATAATCTTGTGTTTAGCTTCAACAGGAAGACTTGTTTCAGTGGGATTGTATGCTTGATCAACCTGTGAACTGCATCATCGCCGGATAAAGCATCATCTTCATGGTATTCTGCTGGCGTGCTGACAGATAGGTCTATATCTGGATGGGACTGTTCTTTTACCTGTTGTACTTTATCGGTTTCTTTTGATTGTCCTTTTCTGTCAGACGACTCATCAGGCTTGATGTTAACAGGAAGAAACATGCAGGGAGTCAGTAGGTTTTTGTGCAGTGTCCTCTTTTTACCAGTTTCCTGATTGGCTACGACATATACTGGGAGACTCGGATGTTTAGAAATGACAACGTTTGGAGGGGTTTCCCATCGGTCTGCCAGCTTTAGAGTACCGACGCTGTGTTTACGTTGGACAAGAACACGTTCTCCTGGAAACAGAGGCGCTTCAGATGTTTGTCGATCCTACAGCCGCTTTTGCTTGGCCTGTGCCTTCTCTGCGATGCTTTGGGCTGTTCTGTATGAGGAGTGTAGGTTCTCTCTCAGATATTCCACAAACTCATCATATGATGGAGCAACTCTGGTTTCTTCAGATGCAAGTCCAACCATGGGCGTCGCCAGGATTTTTTCTAGAGGGGGCAAAACATATTTTTTTCCAAAAAAATCTTGTATTTCTCAACAAATTTTCAATTTATCAGTTTTAGAGGGGGCAGGGACATTTTGCCCCCCAAACTCATTAAATTTACACCACTATGACTTCGCGCCTCTTTTTTTCTTTTTTTCTTTCTTTTTTTCTTCCTTTTTTGCTTTTCCGGGGGGGGGGGGGCCCTCACGACGCCAATGAGTCCAACCATGAAGTCGATTGGTAGATTTGAATGACGACCAAACATCAGGCAAAACGGTGCGAGTCCTGTTGACTCATGATGGGTGGAATTGTACGCGTGGGTCATGGCACCAACATGTTGTTTCCAGTCAAGTTTGTCGTTGAGGTCGAGAGTACCTAGCATATTGAGAAGAGTATGGTTAAATCTCTCTGTGAGACCATTACCCTGCGGGTGATATGGAGTTGTTCTGCTTATCTTGATTCCACAGATTTTGCACAAGTCTCGTACCAGCTGTCCCTCAAAGTTCCTTCCTTGGTCCGAGTGGATTCTAACTGGGAAACCATAATGAAGGATGAAGTTTTGCCAGATGATTTTGGCGACTGTGGATGCCACAGTTAAAATGATCAGTGATGACCAAGATGTTTTTGATGCCTCCTTTAGAATGCTCGAGTTTGAGGAAATCTATCACAACGAGTTCAAGTGGTTCACTGCTGATGATGTTGACTAGTGGGCCTCAGGTCTTTGACGGCGGGGTTTTCGTCAGACAGCAGCTCTCGCAGCTCTCCCACCAGCGTTCTACATCTTCTGCCATCTTTGGCCAGAAGAATCGACGTCTGACCATATCTAACGTTCGCTCATTACCCAGATGTCCTAGTTCGTTATGGAGACAGGCCAATGTTGTTTCTCTGAACTCTGGCGGTAGAACAAGCTGGAAAGATTGTTCTCCATTTGCTGCCGCTCTGGATCGAAACAAGACATCCTCCTGTTATGATACTGGGTTCAGGTTGATGTAAATTGACAGAGAATTGTACGGACTCATCAATTGGAGTTCGACATGCGGGCCGCCACGTTGCACATGATTTATTCATAGATGCATGTACTTACAGAACGAACGTGCAGCTTGTGTCACAATACACAGTGCGCAAGGCATGTTATAACATCTCCCCTTTTTCTGAAAGGAAACACTGGTTAATGAACAATTAAAGTGAATCATCAGTATGCAAATAACTTGAATCAATCTAAAGTTCAGTTTTTTGAGTTTTAATAATCAAAGAGATTCTGCACTGACAGAGATTCTGCACTAGAGTTGCTTATTGTTCTGCAGGTTCACATAAGATCTGGTTTCTTGCAGAATATGGAGTTAACATGTTGTTGCAGTTCAGTGTCCATTAAAAGTTAACTGAAATTGCGAGTCAAAGTGTTGGCTCTTTTTCTCTGATTGATTGTGATTGATTGGGTAAATATCAAAATACTAATTATTGATTTTGATGAACTCAACGAACTGTGCAACAAGGATAGTGTTAAGACATGATGTAGTCTTGGTGCCAAACTGGTGCTCAAGTAACTCGAGTGGGTCGAGCTTCTGCTGGTTGGGGATCCTTAGATGGTAAAGCGATGTCTAGGAATGGACCTGGTGTTGGTTTTGACAGCAGGATGATGTGACGTCTGTTTCGACGGTACTCGGTGCCGTTGATGCAGATGATGTAGGACCGCGGAGTACCAGCATGGCGTACAACTTCACATTCTGGGCTCAACTGTCCTTTGGTTTGGATCTTGACCTTGTCTCCGGCCAGGTGTCAAATCATCCAGGTCTCTTGCCCCATGTCGTTTGTTGAAGTGTTGTCTGCTCTTCATCTGGTTGACATTGTCTACAGCCTTTGATACTGACCAAGGCTAGGCAAAGGAGTTGACCTGTACATCAAAAGGGCATGGACTGGATCAGCTTGACTCAACGATCTCTTAGCAATGTTTACAGCCTTTTCTGCTTGCCCGTTGGCCTGTGGGTAATGCAGACTTAAGGTGGTGTGTTGGAAGTTGTTCTCACCTAGAAACTGTGGAACAATGTCAGTCACCACCACTTCAGGAATGCCGTATCTAGCGAATGTCGCCTTCATGAAGTTAATCACGGATTTGGCTGTTGTCAAGCGGAGGTGATGTTACTCTATCCATCGAGAAAGGTAGTCTACTACCACAAGGTACATCTTCCCCTTCACTTCAGCTAGGTCGCAGGCAATTTGCTGCCATGGTCTCTGTGGTAGTTGTGTAGACATGAGGGGCTCGGCTCGTTGTGATATGGTTGCATATCCTGGCAATGTGGGCAAAACTGGACATGCTGGGCTATGTCAGTACTCATACCAGGCCACTACACAGCCTGATTGGCTCGGAGACGGCTTTTCGAGATGCCTTGATGACCCTCATGGATTCTCTGCAACATTTGTTGTCTCAGGCTCGTTGGTATCACAATGCGGTCACCATATGTGAGAATACCACCAACTAGGCTGATCTTGTCCTGGTCATCCCAGAATCGTCTCGACTGTGGCTCAAAATCTTTCTGGTACTTCGGCCATCCATCTTTGACGAAAGAGATGACTGCATTTAGGGTACGGTTGCGGCTGGTTTCTGCGGCTATTTCAACCAGTTTTGCATCAGATGCGGGCCACTGGGATGTGATCAGGTGAACATGGGCTTCGATCTTGTCTTCCAAATTGTCATTGGACTCTGTCGTTTTGTAGCGATGGAGAGGGGTTCGTGAGAGTGCGTCGGCCACAACCAGTTGTACTTCATTAGTCTCATCAGAAGTCGTTTGCAACGGAGGGGGGCATCACACAAGTGCTTCTGGTTGATTAAGGACACAAGAAGTTTGTGGTCTGTCTGAAGCGTCACTCAGAGACCTCGGCGACCACGGAGATAGATGTAGAAACGCTCACATGACCAGACAGCAGCCAGTAGCTCCTTTTCGATCTGTGCATAACGTTGCTCTGCACACGCCAGACTTCGGGAGCAATATGCTACTGGCCTCCAGGACTCGTCTTCCTGCTTCTGAAGGATGTAACCACCAATCCCGTAACTGCTGGCATCAGCACTGACCATTGTTGGCTTTGTTGGGTCGTAGTATGCAAGCGTTGGGGCTGTCGTTAGCAGAGTCTTGTTGTCGAAACGCGGTGCGTTGCGCTGGACCCCAAATCCACTCTCTGTCATCTTTCATCAGGTCGTTGATCGGTGCGGCTACAGAGGCTGAACGGGGTATGAAGCGAGAAAGCAAGTTGACCATCCCCATCAGACGTTTGACTTCCTCCTTCGTTGTAGGCGGCGACGTTTGCAGGATCGCGTCTACTTTGGCAGGGTCCGGATTTTTGCACTTTTGCAATTTTGCACTTGTCCTTGTTGAGCCTCAACCCAGCTCATTGGAGGATTTTGAGAACATGACGAAGACGTGCATCATGTTCCTGCGGTGTAGTAAGTTACTGCAATGTGATTATTGTGATAACAAGAGATGTTTGAAGTGTCTGAAAATTTCGGAAGCTACATACAAGAGTCTAGGTGACAGACCCGATTTTCCATGGTTCTGTGATAAATGTGTGGTCAAAGCAATGCGGTGCATTAAAGAGGAGAAAGAAATAGAGGATCGATGCAACACATTCATTAATGAATTCAGAGCAGAAGTAAACTCTAAACTTAGTGAGATGCAGTCTGAAATTGATGATATCAAATCTAAGATCAGCTGTCCTCAGGATGCATATGAGAGTACTCTAAACCCTGTGCCACCATCAAGTAGGCCTACTGCCAATCAAGAAGCCGTGATGAATAACATTTTCACCAACGTGAATGACAGATTAGCAAGGAAGAAGAACATTATAATCTTCAATCTCCCCGAGAGTACCAGTATTTACAAAGAGGAATGCAATAACCAGGATGTAATGCATGCCAAGAAACTTTGCAAAATCACCACAGATACTCACGAAGATGACACATCGGTTACAGTTAAGAGACTCGGCAAGAAACTTCCAAATGAAGAAAGCATAAGTGAAACCTCTAAACCAAGACCAGTATTAGTGTCCTTCCAGAAGGAGGAAGAAAAAATCAAAGTCATGAGAAACCTGTATAAATTGGGCAACGCAGAGGCGCCATACAATAAAATAAGTGTCAGGCAAGATATGACAAGACAGGAAAGAGAGGCTGATAGAAAGCTTCAAGCAGAGGCCAAGGACAAAAATGATGGAAATGACGATCCTAATTTTCTCTTCGTCGTGAGGGGCTCCCCCTGGGAAAGGAAGGTGCTAAAAATACCAGTAAGGAAGAAAACCGCAGAGGGGTCGCAAAGCACATTAAAACAGATGGAGCACACCACAAATGCAATTTAATTGTATGGTCTACTAATGCCGATGTTCTCACACAATACAAATTTCAAGAACTGGTTGCTAGGATTGAAGTAAATCCTCCTGACATTGTTGCCATATCTGAAGTTAAGCCAAAGAACTATAGATACGAGCTGTATTTATCTCAGTATGGTATACCGGGATACAACATGGAACCACTGAATCTGAAGGAGGACATCGGCAGAGGAATGTTACTATATGTACATAGCTCTATTCAGCACAACTTTATTGATTTGCACCAGTTTAATGTTAAAGAAGCACAGGGTGTTGAAGTTAAGTTGGAGAAAGGAGATTTGTTTCTTTTTTGCTCTTTGTACAGAAGTCCAAACTCAAGCAATGATAATAACAATGACATTAATGAGTTTCTTAAAGTAATTACCAACAGAAACTACTCACGAGTTCTGATCACAGGTGATTTTAATTACCCTGGAATTGACTGGTCTACATACAGTACAAATACAAATGAGGAGGATAAGGAATTCAAATTTGTGGAAGCTGTTAGGGATTGTTACCTGACACAACATGTTGAGGTACCAACTAGAGGTAGGGGCACACAAACTCCCTCCCTATTGGATTTGGTGTTTACGAATGGACATGATATGATCAACTCGGTAGATTGTGAGGCACCACTAGGGAAGAGCGACCATGCAGTGTTGACGATAGATTTCAAGTGTTCATCAGATAGAGATACGGCACCGAAAGTTAGACTTTGTTACGACAAAGGGAATTACGACAAAATGAAGGAACTGTTAAACATAAACTGGGAGAAGGAGTTTAAGGATTGTAGTAACGATGTGAATTCTCAATGGGAAAAATTCACCCGAAGGTTCCACGAAGCTGAGGAGGAATGCATTCCTAAAAGGATCATAAGAACTAGTTCTAAACGGGGTACAATACCCTTGGATAGGAAAACGTTGGGCAAGATTAAAAAGAAAAACAGACTTTGGAAAAAATTCATCGACTCCAAGAGTGGTGAAGTCTACCAAGAGTACTGCAAATTACGGAACCAAGTGAGAAAGTGTACTAGAAAAGCTAAAAAGGAGTATGAAAAGAACCTGGCAAGGCAGGTTAAAAGGAACCCTAAAAAGTTTTGGAGCTACGTTGGAGCGAAAACAAAAGTCCGTGCAGGGATACCCAACCTATCCAAATCTGGTGATGAAAAAGGAAGTGACTACACCGAAACTGATGGGGAAAAGGCGGAAGTGTTGGGTAACTACTTTACTTCAGTATTTACGCGAGAACCAGATGGTCACTGGAACTTACCGGAGTCAGTCAACATGGCCCATGAACTGGAATCTGATATAAGTGTGGAATCTGTGTACAATGTGTTGGATAAACTAAAAACATCTAAGTCGCCAGGACCAGATAAAATTCATCCAAGGGATTTATACGAGTTACGAGAAGTATGCAGTAAACCTCTGGCGATTATCTTCAACACTTCAGTACAAACAGGGATCCTACCCGATGATTGGAAGAGGGCCAACATCACAGCCATCCACAAGAAGGGTAGCAGAAAAGTGGCAGGCAACTATAGACCAATAAGCCTTACCAGTGTGGTCTGTAAAGTCATGGAAACTCTTATACGGAACTCACTTGTGGATTACATGAAGGACAACAATCTCTTCAGCTCCAAACAGTATGGGTTTATCAGTGGCAGATCAACCGTTTTGCAACTTATCACCTTACTAAATGAGTGGACAGAGATCCTGGATATTGGTGGAGCAATCGATGTGGTATATTGTGATTTCATGAAGGCTTTCGATAAGGTCCCCCATAGACGTCTTATTGATAAACTGCAATACTACGGTATTCAAGGGCCAATTCTAAAGTGGATTGAGGCCTTTCTCAGTAATAGGAAACAACGAGTGGCAGTAAATGGTGCATACTCCGAATGGTACGATGTCCTGAGTGGAATACCCCAGGGGTCGGTTTTAGGGCCAATCTTGTTCGTCGTATACATCAACTCTCTACCAAGTGTGATAGAAGACTCAGCAGTCTACCTCTTTGCAGACGACACCAAGATATTTAAATGTATCTTAACCGAGGAGGATTGCGACAAACTCCAGGATGACATAAACCGCCTGGTGGGATGGACAGAGGATTCACTGCTTAAATTCAACCCAGATAAATGTAGCACTATGAGGATCGGAAAGACCAAAGTAGAAGATCAACAATATACCATGGGAGAGAACAGACACCCACTGAAGCAAGTCAAGGAAGAAAAGGACATTGGGGTCATCATCGACAATAAACTATCCTTTGGAAGTCACATGTCTACAAAGATAAATAAAGCAAATTCAATCATGGGTCTAATTAGAAGAACGTACGACCATTTGGATGAGGATAGTTTCCTGTTGTTGTATAAAGCTCTGGTAAGACCTCATCTCGAGTATGCCAACCAAGTCTGGGCACCACGTCACAAGAAACATATAACCGAAATGGAGAATGTACAGCGACGTGCAACCAAACTTATCCCAGGTCTCAAGGACATGTCATACGAGGGAAGGCTAAAACATCTCAAACTACCAACCTTGGCCTATCGGCGCATACGAGGAGATATGATAGAAATGTATAAAATACTTAGTGGAAAGTATGACAACGACGTCTCCAATTTCATCCCCCTAAGCTCCAGTGTGACCAGAGGCCATCAGTATAAGATAAACAAGGTCCGGACAAGGTTGGATGTCAGAAAGTACTCCTTTGTGCATCGATGTACTGACACATGGAATAGCCTACCAGAAGTTGTGGTTTCAGCTCCTAGTACAAAGTCCTTTGAGGGCAGATTGGATAAGATGTGGGCTTCACAACCCTTTAAATATGACATAGACACCCCAGTATCCACCTCCACACTAGGCTTGCGCACAACAGAACTCAAATCTAGTATTTATGAAGATCTGATCCTAGAGGCCACACAAGGCCTTTCATCAGAAGAGGACCTGTAAGTACCTGTAAGTAGCGCCCGTGACGAGAACATCGTCCTTGTAGATGTTGACTCCTGGAAGATTCACCAGCAGATCACTCATGATTCTCTGATACAGTTCGGGTGCTGACGTTCTGCCAAACAGCGTGATGAATGTGGTTAGCTTCTGGCTGACAGGATGGAGAGGAATTTGCCAAAACCAATGCTTGGCATCAAGGATGGAGAACACGGCAATTTTACCCAGTACTTCTTCCAAGGTAGTTATGGTGAAGTGCTCTCTGGCCACGGCTTTGTTCAGCACTCGCAGATCGACGCAGATCCTGATGTCTCCATTTTTCTTGGGAGCGATCACGATCGGAGCGCACCAATCAGTAGGCCCTGTGATGTGCGAGATGATGCCATGTTTCTCCATTTTTTCAAATTCTGTCTTGAGCTTTGGATGCAGGGGCAAGGGGATGCGACGAGGGGCATGGACACAGTGTGATGTGGCATTGTCGGTCAGCTTTATCTTCACTGGGGGGGGGGGGGGGTGGCTCAAAGGCATCCAGTTCCCTCGAAAACACTGGTGTCATTGATCAGGGTGTACACACGCTGCACAAGGTTAAGGGACACACATGCATGTTTTCCCAAAACTGGCTCACTATCATCAATAATAAGAAAAGTCAGAACATGGTACTTGCCCTTGACTTCACAGGATAGACGCTTCTGCCCTCTTGGTTTGACTTTTCCGCCAAAGAAACCACACAAATGGGTTTGTAGGCGTGAACTGCAAGGTCGTGTTAGGGAGCTTGAGGGTGCGGTAAACATGTAAAGGCAGTATGTTTACCTCTGACCCGGTGTCGAGCAGGAAGTGGACGGGCTTGTCCTCAACACCGACGGTCTGACGCAATGAAGTGTGGGAT